CCCGCGACCTGCCTTTTTAAAATTATTTTTAGTTGTAAATGGACACAATATCTTATTTTATTTATTTTTATGGAGTGCTAAAGATAGAACCCAGTGCCTCACCTGTGCTAGGCAAGCACTCTACCACTGAGTCACAATCCCAGCCCTTTCTCACTCTTTTTAAACCTGTCCCCTTAAAAAAAAAATCTCTGAAACATCGGTATTATACAAGTTGTAAGAAACAGAAATTTATTAAGAACCATCTCTTCTCTCCCAGAAGCACAGAAGGAAGGCCAGAGGAAAATAGGGCAGGGGGAAGTGTTCCAGGGAAAAGAGTCTCTGATGTCTGTGGCAGGTGGGGACAGAGGACTGTCCTGGTGGATCCAGACAGACTCTTGGCTGGAATCCACTTGGACAAGCCCAAGCCAGCTGGCACACCTCATTGCTGAAGCTGTTTGAGTTCACTCCTGACCGATGCCCACTTCATGATATCAGGATGCTCAGAGCTCAGGGTCTTCTGGCTGTCCATTGATCTGTTTGTCTCATGTATGCATGTCCACTGGAGCCACTCTGTTACAGAACCAAGATTATCTGTGGCCACCTTCCATTGGAGCCACTCTTCTTCTTAAGGTCAGCCTGCAGAAGCACGGCATGTAGCAACAAAGCTGTAGAATGCAGGTAGTAATCCTTCTAGTGACCCCCTGCTCTGTCAATGAATTGCCCTGAGGGGGTACCTTGGGATGTCAAACTACAGCCTTCTGTAACCTACCTACTGAGGATCACCCAGGAGATGGGCCTGAGGTACTCAGGCCTGTGGGACACAGGGTCAGGCTGGGAAGTTAGGCTGGGAGAGTGGTGTGCCCACATGGAATAAGTGGAGAAGAATGGCAAGCACACTGGCACTTGCAGCCCCCTTCTGCCCCAACTTCTTGGCCTCCTCAGCCTTCTATTGCTCACAGGCCAAGGAAAAGGCTGGCTGGCTTGTGCACTTGTTGGGGTAGACACTGAAAGGATCTGCAAGGCCCAAACACCCAACAGTACACAAGCTTTACCTGGAGCTTGCAGCCCACCCCCTGGGTTCTCCAGTGCCAGAGAATGAGGTAGGTAGCCATGGCCTCATCAAATTTTAAATTTTCCAGAGCAACCCATGCATTAAAGGGGACATAACCCATGTCAAACATGATGGTTATGATGGCAGAGTCAGGGGGTCTGAGGGGGTGGCTTGTTGGAATGACTGGGTGAAGAGTCCTTGCCCTGGCTCTGCCATGGGTGCCCCATTACCTGCTCTAGAGTAGGCCTCTGCAAGGGGTCCAGCATCAGCATCTGCTGGATGAGGCTCAGTGCTCCCTCCAAAAGGTGCAGGGGAATGTCGTAGCTTGCCTGCATGATCAGCTTCTGCAGCTGCTTAGTGGTGCTTGCCTTAAATGGGCATCTTCCTGTGAGCATAGATAGAGAGTGACATGCAGCCTCCAGAAGTTTGCTGGGGAACCCTCATATTCTTGCACCTGGACGATTTCAGGGGCACAGTATGGGAGAATGCCCCAGAACCTGTTCAGCTTCTACCCAGGCATGAACCTGGTGCTAAGGCCAACGTCAATGAATTTGACATTACCTCTGACATCCACCACATGCTCCAGCTTCAGGTGGAGCTACACGATGCCCTTCTTCTCATGGCAGCGGCATGTGGCACACACGATCTGCCTGAACACTCTGAGGGCCTTCTCCTATTGCAGGCCACTGCAGTAGGGATACTCTACCATAGCTCTCCCCGACCTGCATGCTCCATGACCAGGTAGATACTGTGCATGGTCTTGATAATCTGGAAGTGCTGAATCATGTTTCCGTGTTCCAGGGCCAGGAACCTATCTATCAGGTTCTGACAGGACAGGAACATTCCCTTCTGTCTTCAGCACAACTTTCACTATGACCTCTGCCCTGTTGAGAAGATGGTAGGCTAGTATCACTGGCCAAAGCCCCCTTGCCAAGTGACCCTCAGGACATCATAATGGTCTGGGGAGCCATCTCATAGCAGGAGCTGGTCCCCTGCAGCACTACACTACTCTGACTACACATCCTAAGTCAGAATCCAGTTAAGAATACTAGCTTAAAAACAAACAAATAAACAAAAGACCAAAAACAAAAAGACAAAACAAAAACCCAAAATTAAAAAACCAATAGCAAAACACCAAATCACTAACCAACAACCACTAAATGCACTATCTGGGATTCTGAAGGTTCACCACCAAAATCTTTTTGTAATTATAGACAAAATCCCAGCTGCAGACACCTTCATTATATAGCCAGTATTTGAAATTCCATCACAGTGGTTCCTTTTGGGGTCAGAGCAAGAAATAAGCCAGTCACACCTGGGCATAACCCCCAGTGGTCATCTAACTTTTTTGGCCTCCAGAACCTTTCCAACTTTCATAATAAGAATAACAAAACAGTGCTGGGGTTGTGGCTCAGTAGCAGAGGGCTTGCCTTGCACATATGAGGCACTGGGTTCAATGCTCAGCACCACATAAAAATAAATGAACAAAATAAAGATATTGTGCACATGTATAACTAAAAAAAATTCAAAAAAAAAAGAATAACAAAAGATCCCCAGAGCTTTTTGTTTCAATGGGTTATGGAGAATAATATTTATGTGTTCAGAGATTATAAAACCTGTAGGATAATCAGGTGCAGTGGCGCACGCCTGTAATCCCAGGGGCTTGGGAGACTGAGGCAGGAGGATAATGAGTTCAAAGCAAAAGCAAGGTGCTACATAATTCAGTGAGACCCTGTCTCTAAACATACAAAATAAGGCTGGGGATATGGCTCAGTGGTCATGTGCCCTGAATTCAATCCCTAGTACCAAAAATAAATAAATAAATAAATAAATAAAACCAAAAAATTCATAAGATACTTCAATGGACTTTTCAAGCCTGAAAACCTGTAATAACTTTTGTTTTTTTAAAACCTCATCATATGTACACACCAAGTATTAAATTCCTTTTTCTTCCAACTCAGAATACTGGTATAAAGGGAAAAGCAATCATGATATTCATTTGAAACAATAAGAGACCCCAAATAGCCAAAGCAATCCTTAGTAAGAAAAGTGAAGCAGGAGGAATCACATTACCAGACCTTAAATTATACTACAGTGCCATAGTAACAAAAATGGCATTGAATTGGTACAAAAACACATACATAGACCAATGGTACAGAATAGAAGACACAAGAGATAAACTCAATACAATTATCTCATACTAGACAAAGACCCAAAAACATACATTGGAGAAAAGATAGCCTCTTCAACAAATGGTGCTGGCAAAACTAGCAAGCCATATATAGTAAAATGAAATTAAACCCCCATCTTTCACCCTGCACAAAATTTAACTCAACATGGATCAAGAACTTAGACACAGGAACAAAGACCCTATGCCTAATACAAGAAAAAGTAGACCCAACTCTCTATCATGTTGGTTTAGGAACTGATTTCCTCAACAAGACTCCTAAAGCATAAGAAGTAAAATCAAGAGTCAACAAATGGGGTGGAATAAAACTAAAAAGCTTCTTCACAGCAAAGGAAACAATCAAGGACATAAACAGAGAGTCTACAGAATGGGAAAAAATCTTTACCAAATGCACCACAGATACAGCATTAATCTCCAGGATATGTATGTAAAGAACTCAAAAAACTTAACACCAAAAAAACTAATAACCTAATTAATAAATGGGCAAAGGAATTGATCAGGCACTTCAAAGAAGAAAAATGGATGATCAAATATACATGAAAAGATGTTCAACATCTCAAGTAATAAAAGAAATGCAAATTAAAACTACATTGAGATTTCATCTCACTCCAGTCAGAATGGTAATTATCAAGAATACAAGTAACAATAAATGTTGGAGAGGATGTGGCAAAAAGGTTCACTCATACATTGCAAATTGGTGTGACCACTCTGGATAGCACATTCCTCAGAAAACTAGGAATGGAATCACCATTTGATCCCATTATCCCACTCCTTGGTTTTTTCCCAAAGGACTTAAAATCAGCATACTGCAGTGACACAGCCACATCAATGTTTTTAGCAGCTCAATTCATAATGGCCATATTATGGAACCAACCTACTGCCCTTCAACAGATGAATAGATAAATAGATTGTGGTATATATACACAAATAAAATATTACTCAGCCATAAATAGGAATGAACTTACAGCATTTGCCAGTAAATGGATGGAGCTGGAGAATATCATGCTAAGCCAATCCCCAAGACTCAAAACTTAAATGTTTTCCCTGATATGCATATGCTAATTCATAATAAGGGCCCAGGCAGGGAGCTAGGGAAGAATAGAGTTACTTTGGATTAGACAGAGGGGAGGGGAGGGGAGGGAAGGGAAGAGAAGGGAAGGGGCATAGGAGTAGAAAGGACAGTAGAATGAATCAGACATTATTACTCTATGTGCATATATGACTACATGACTGGTGTTATCACATACAACCAGAAGACTGAGAAGTTATACTCCATTTATGTAGGATGTATCAAAATTCATTCTATCATGTATAACTAATTAGAACAAATTAAAAAAAGAAAATATTACTGACTTTAAGCCTGTATCTCCATGTTCTCTTCTATACCATTGACTCTCATGTTAACATACATATATACATATTATACATACATACATTCCATTTTTTATCATCTAGACAAAAAAGCCAATAAAGAAACATCATACTTAAACTATACTATAGATGAATTACCTAACAAATATTTAAAGAATATTTCATCTAATACCTATTTAATACACATTCTTTAACTCAGCCTATTAAATATTCTCTAGAATAGACCATAGCATAACAAGTTTTAAGAAAATTTTAAAACTAAATCATATTACATTTTTGCACCACAATGGAATGAACCTACAATCAATAACAAAGGAAATTGTAGAAATTATACAAATACATGAAGAATAAACAAAATAATTTTAAACAAGCAGGTCATTGAAAAAAATCAAAAGGAAAAATTTTTAATTCTCAAAACAAATGAAAATGGTAACATAAAATACCAAACCTAATGGAATACAGCAAAAACAGTTCTGAAAGGTATGTTCATAATAATAAGTACCTAATATTACCAAAAAAAAAAATTCAACCAACCAACCTAACAATTCACCTCAAGGACCTAGAAAGCAAGAGCAAAGCAAACCCAAAATTAGTAGGAAAATAGAAACAACAATGATCAAAGTATAAATACAGTTTTTTTTAAAAAGTAAAGATCAATGAAATTAATAGTTTCTTTTTTGAAAAGATAAGCAAAATCAACAAACCACTAGTTAAGCTAATCAAGAAAAAAAGAGAGAGGCTGGGGTTTTGGCTCAGTAGTACAGCTCTCAACTAGCATGCATGAGGCACTTATTTCAATTCTCAGCACCACATTAAAATAAAATAAAGATATTATGTCTACCTATAACTAAAATATATATTTTTTAAAAAGAAAAAGGATAGACAACCCAAATAAATAAGAAATTAAAAAGGAGACATTACACTGATCCTACAGAAATACAATCAATCATTAGAAACTATACATTAACAAATTGGAAAATCTAGAAGAAATTAATGCACTGCTGGACACAACCTACCAAAATTGTTCCATGAGGATATTAAAAAAACAGTAACAAATGATATCAAATCATTAATTAAAAGATTCCCACCAAAGAAAAGCCCAGGACCAGATAGCTTCACCAATGAATTTTACCAAACTTATGAAGAAGAAATGGCAATGATTCTCAAACTATTCCAAAGAACTGAGACAGAAGGAACCCCTCCAAACTCAAACTATGAGGCCAGAATTACCATGATATCAAAATCAGACAAGGACACATACACAAAAGGAAAATTATAGACCAAATTCCTGGTGAATACAGAAGTGAAAATTCTTAACAAAATACTAGCAAACTAAATCCAGCAATAATCAAAAATATCATTCACTATGATCCAATTGCACTTTTCATAGGGATGCCAGGAAAGTTCAACATCCACAGTTCAATAAACATAAATCAACAGAATTAAGGATAAAATCTCTTTATAATTTCAATAGATGCAGAAAAGGGATTGATAAAATTCAATATGTCTTCATGATAAAACCCTAAACAAATTAAGTATATAAGTATCATAACTTAACATAATAAAAGTTATAATATTAAAACACATATCCCTATTATAATGATTGGAAAAAAACTGAAGGCATTTCCTCTGAGATCTGGAACAAGAAAAGGATTCCATACTCAACTGCTCTTATTCAACATAGTATTAGAAATTTTATCCTGAACAACTAAGAATGAGAAAGAAAATAGAAAGAAAGTCAAATTATGCCTGTTTGCAGCCAATATTACTCCATACATATAAAAGCCTAAATAAACTACCAAAAGTCTATTAAAACTGATAAATTAATATAAAACACACACACTCAAAATGCAAATATCAGTTGCATTTTTATACACTAGTATCAAACTTGCCAAAAAAGCAATCATTAAATAACTCCACTTGCAATAGCTATAAAAATATAAAATGACTGTTAATAAATTTAACCAAGGAAATGAAAGACATCAACAATTATCTCATTAATGAGATAAATTTGAATAAAATACAAAAAAAGGAAAGACTCCATGTTCATGGACTAGAAAAATTAATAGTTAAAATGCCCATTCTACCCAAATTGATTTATAGATTCACTGCAATCCTCATTGAAATACCAATAATATTCTTCACAGAACAAGAAAATAAACAATTCTAAAATCTTGAGCAAAAAGAACAATGATGGAGGTGTCAGAGTATCTGATTTCAAGACACACTACAGGTAGAAATCATAACATCATGGTACTTACATAAAAATTGAAACTTATATCAATGGAACAGAATGTTGATTCCAGGAATTACCCCATGCATCTACAGCCAAATGATTCTTGACAATGGCACAAAAATCAAACACTGGAGAAAGAACAATCTCTTCAATAAGTTGTATCAGGAAAAATAGATATCCATATGCAGATTGAAACTTGACTTCTATCTCTCAACTCAAAATGGATCAAAGATCTAAATATTAAGACCTGAAATTATGAAATTACTTGAATAAAATATAAGGAAACACTTTGTCACATAAATACAGGCAATGATTTTTTTCAATATGACCTAAAAAGCACAAGAAACTAATACAAATCTAGACAAATGGGATTGTATCAAACTATGAAGTTTCTGAACAACAAAGGAAACAATAAAGAGAAAACCTACAGAATGGGAGAAAATATATACCAAGTCTTCATCTGATAAATGGTTAATATCTGGAAAATATAAGGAAATCAAAATACTTAACGAAAAATATACAATTTTAATCCAACTTTCAAAAATGGAGAAGTGATCTGAATAAACACTTCTTAAAAGATGAAAATACAAATGACCAACAAATATATGAAAAATGCTCAAAATCATTAGCCACCAGAGAAATGCAAATAAAATTACAACAAAGTATCATCTCATCTGAGTTAGGAGAGCTTCTATCAAAAAAAAAAAAGAAAAGAAAATAGCAAATGTCGGTGAAGGTGTGGATAATAGAAACTCTTGTACACTGTTGGTAGGAATGTTAATTACAAACAGTACTGGAGATTGCTCAAGAAACTAAAAATGGATATACCATATGATTCAGCTGTCATCAGGATGATACCCTCCCCAATGCAACCATGCAACCCACCTACCAGTAACTTATTGCTTTCATCTGCTTATTAGAAGGGGCTGCCTGACTGTGGAAATCAAGGCTGGGTGCCCATAACCACTCTTCAACTGCCAACTGCCAATCCCTTATAGACAGCTTTAATACTCTACACTATCCCCTTCATAAATCAGTTCTGATAAAAACCCAGACACCAGATCTGCTTGGGGAGAAGGTGCCTTTAGAGCCTGAGCTCCCCTTCTCCTTTTTTAGGCTACTGAATAAAAATTTCCTGCTTGCCTTAAGACTGTTTGGTTATTTGCAAGCAGTACCAAATAGGAAAAGATCATGAAAAGTTCATGACAAATTTCTGGTTGCTCTGCAGGAACAACCTTGGCCTTCCTAGATTGGAGGGTTCCCAATGGCTCCTAAGAGTTTCCTTAACTCCAGAAGCAGAAACAGTGGGTAGCAGCAGCTCAGCCTGGACTAATTCCATTAAGTTGTGAGGACTCAGGGAGGCTTGTTAGTGCTCACCCATTTGGGGGTGGGGAGTGTTCCCAAGACAATTCTACTTGATAACCTAGCTTCTCCTCCCTGGACCATTTTCTCTATAGCCAGTGACCACTGACCAGGAAGAACTGTGACTGATAGAACAGATTTGATTCTCAGCTAACTGGCAACCCAAAAAAAACACAGGAAATCTAAGGGAAATTTCTTGGGAAATTTTTACACCCCCATTGTGAGGTTAGACACCAAGGGAGGACACCTGGGAAAGACTAGGCATGACTGACTAGCCCTCAGTAAGCTATTAGGGACCACTGAGCATAATGATCAATATAGGTATAGTTGCAACTTCTTTTGTGGCTTCCTTTGTTGTTGTTATCTCTATGAGTCTGGCTAAACCTCAGTGAGCAGCTGTTTCCTTTCTGCTGCTTCTTGTTCATTGATATTTGGGGGATTTCACTCCATCCTTCTTTCAGCTGCTCCTAAAATTCCACCAGCCTCAAGAGGAAAAATATAGTGTCTGACTACCAAAACTGATAAGTATTCAGTGGCCCCTCTAGTGAGGCACTTCCTACTGGAAAGTTCTTTGGCATGGCATCAATGAGGTAAGGGGCCCATAGAAGATCACCAAGCTGAAGAAATTATTTTATATGTAATTCATGTTATATGGCTTGAAATCTCTTTAACTTGCGAGTCTCCACCTGACCTTGTGGTCACTCTCTGGGATATCTGATCTGGTTCTGTTCTGATCTGAATGTGCACTTTAATCTAATTATTTTACATGTTCTTTTGTCCATTAGTATTTGATTAGTCTGTTTTTATGATAATTAACTGGATAGAAGCTAAAGGATTTGATGGCTGCAGGAAATAGTTCTATTAGAAATTTTTCTACATAAAGGTCTCCAAACTTCAGAGACAAATGCTCCCTCTGGCGCCCACTCTGAATGTCCCTGGGTGACTAAGTCATGATAGAAGTGTCAGAGCATCATACCTATGACATGAAGTGGTCTCACAGGAAGCCAAGTGAGAAAAAATATACCACAATCTTGTGTTAGAAGAAACTCAACAGTTCATATGAAAGCCAGGCATGGTGGCATTATAGGTGCACGCTTGTAATCTCAATGGCTTGGCAGGTGGAGATAGGAGGATCACAAGTTCAAAGCCAGCCTCAGAAAAAAGTGAGGCTCTAAGCAACTCACTGAGATCCTGTCTCTAAATAAAATACAAAATAGGGCTGGGGATGTGGCTCAGTGCTTGGTGTCTGTAAATTGAATCCCCAGTATCCCCAGCCCCCAAAAATAAAAAATACAGTTCATGTGGGAGGTGTACAGAAGGGAATGATCATCCTACACATTGAGCAATCCCACATTCCCCCTTGGTGTTTGGGGTTTTCTGATACATGTAATAGGGGATATATCTGGCTCATTGGTGATGCTCTGATAAGAAACCCCAAAAGCAGCATATTAATGACTGCAAATATTTCCTCAGAACCAACTCTAGCTCTGGCCACCAGATAGAATCACAAATGGGGTGCTGCAGAATAACTGAGTAGAAATTTAATTCAAAACCCAGCAAGGTAAACTGCCCCCTCAAATTCCTAGGAATATTTCTGTGAGAGTTCCTATGGAAAGTCCCCTCTTTTTGACAGAAGTTTCTCCTATACTTTTTTTTAATATTTTTTTTTTAGGTGTAGATGGACACAACACAATGCCTTTATTTTTATGTGGTGCTGAGAATCGAACCTGGGGGCCCCGCTTGTGCTAAGGGAGCACTCTACCGCTGAGCCACAATCCCAGCCCTCTCCTATACCTTTTAAGCATAATTAAGCTAATGTCCTTTTTCTGGTGAAATGCTTTTGGTTTATACACCTTGTTTAATATTTGGTTTGACATGCAAGTCTAATTTTAAATTTTCTTATAAACACTTTAAGATAATTCTTAAAATTCATTATGGAGTTAAGATGAAAGAACTTTTAGCCCTCCAATTTTAACTCCCTTCACCTTTTGCTTATTTTAATATGATTTTATTACTCAAGATTGTTTAAAAGATTTATAGTTAAACTAGTCCTAGATAAAAAGAAAACATGCAAGACTGCTAGACTGAGACCAAAATAAATAGACATATAAATCAATCAATTTTAAAAATAAAATAAGTTTAAAAAAATTCTTAAACAAAACCCTGTTACTATGGAAATTGCTTTACCTGAAAATTCTGGTCCAAAGTCTACATAAGACTTGCAATTAAAAGTCTTAAAGTTTAGCTATATAAATAGATGATCTTAAATTAAAACATTTTTTTTCAGCAAAAGATGTTGACTACAGATGGAAATGTAAATTAGTATTACTACAAAACTAATAAACAGAATGGAGATTCCTCAAAAATTTTTAAATAGAATTACTTCTGGAAACATACCTAAAAGACCTGGAAACCAATGTCTCAAAGAGGACCTATGGGCTGGGGATGTGGCTCAAGCGGTAGCACGCTCACTTGGCATGCGTGCAGCCCAGGTTCAATCCTCAGCACCACATACAAAGAAAGATGTAGTGTCCCCCAAAAACTAAAAAATAACTATTAAAAAATTCTTTCTCTTTTTTTAAAAAAAAAAGGACCTATGATCATAGTAGCACTGTTCACAACAGCTAAACCACAAGAGCAACCCAAGTATCCACTGACAAATGAAAGGATATCAAAATGTGGTGTGTAAATACAATGAAATCTTATTCAGCCTTAAAAAGAAATTTTGGCATACCCTACAACTTGGATAAGCCTTGAAGACATTATGATAAATAAAATAAGCCAGTCACAAAAGAGACAAATATTAAATGATTCCACTAATATGACATAGCTAGAATAATGAAAATTATACAGACAAAAAGGAGAATGGTAGTTTCCAAAGACTATGGGAGAAAGGAATATGCAATTATTTATTATAGAGTTTCAGTTTTATAAGATGAAAACATGTATGGAGAAGGATGGCAATGATAGTTATTCAATAGTATAAATGTATTTAATAACTCTGAACTGTATACTTAAAAAATAAAACATGCAATAACCACACAATTGGCCCAATTTTACTCCTAGGCATTTATATCAGAGAAGTGAAAATTTATACCATATGAAAATGTGCACATATATTCACAGCTGTTTAATAATAATGACCAGAAACTAAAAACAATTCAAATATCTTTCAACAGGTAAACAGATAAACTGTGGAATAACAATAAAAAGGAATAAACTGCTCTCATACACTCAACACCCAAATTGGTGGGCTCTACATCCACAAATTCAACAAACCATGGATCAAATATATTGGGGGAAAAAGTGCATATGTATTGAACATACAAAGACTTTCTTCTTGTCATTATTACTTGAACAATATTGTAGTAACAACTATTTATATAGCATTTTACATACACTAGATATTTTAAGTAATCTGGAGATAATCTAAAGCATTCCAAAGGAATGTGTAGGTTTTATGCAAATATTATACCACATTACATAAGAATCCTGAGCATCTGTAGATTTTGGCATCCCTGGGGAGAACTGAGACCAATCCCTTGTAGATCCCAAGGGATGAATATATTCAACAATTTGGGTGAATCTTCAAAGATTAATTAGGAATTTTAAAAAGTTGAACCCCAAAGGTTGTATACTATGCCATTCTACTTATATTACATTCTCAAGATGGCAAAATTTTTGAAATGAAGACTAAATCAGTGGTTGTTAGAGGTCAAATAATGGTGGTGGAAAGTTAGATTGGACAGAGGTCACATGGGCAACATGATAAATCCTATAGTGGTAGAAGGGTCCTGTATCTTGATGGTCTTAGTATCAATATTCTGATTGTGATAATATACTATAGTTTTATAAGATGTTACAACTGGAAGAAATTGGGGGGAAAAGTACAAGGGATTTCTCACAACTAGTTGTGAGTTTACATTATCTTAAATGAGATAATGAATTTGAAAAACTGAGATGACACTAAAGCAATTAGGAGGAAATTTATAGTACTATAGGTACACAGTAGAAAAGAAGAAAGTTCTCAAATTAATGCCATTTCTACCTTGAGAAACTAAAAAATAAGATCAAATTAAACCCAAAGTAAAAGAAAAAAAGATTGAATCAAAAATTAATGAAATAGAATATAGTAAAACATTAGAGAAAAAGCAATGAATCTAAAAGTTGATTCTTTTTTAAAGAATCAGTACAATTGATAATCTTCTAGCCAAGATGTGATCAGGAAAAAGAAAATACAAACTACCAATAACAGAAATTTAAGAAAGGACATCAATACTAATTGCAAAGACATTAAAAACATGTCAATAAATTTGATTTTCATGATAGTTACTCTTTTTGTTTGGTGGGGGGCATATCAGATAAGTGAAAACTTACATCAGATGAAAATGTGCACATATATTTATAGTTACTCTTTTTGTTTGGTACTGGGGATTGAACCCAGAGGCACTTAACCACTGAACCATATCCAAAGTCCTTTTTATCTTTTGAGACAGGGTCTTGACAAGTTGCTGAGGGCCTGGCTAAATTGCTGAGGCCTCTTGAATTTGCAATCCTTCTGTCTCAGCCTCCCAATTCCCTGGGATTATAGGCGTGCATCATAGCACCTCATAATAGTTACTCATTTCTAAAGAAGCAATAAATTTTATTTAGACATAAATATTTCTCTTACCTGAATGTTTAAGAACATTTAATTAATATTAATGTAGGTAATAATGAACCAAATATTAAGGATACATTCGTATAGCACCTGTCCTTGTTCCAATAGCTAAGATTTTCTGAACTGGATCAAAGGCCAATGATGTGGGCTGATAAGGAAAACCATGCCGAACAGTCTGAAAGAGAGCAAATAACACAGTAATGACAAAAATTAAAAACTAAAATGATAACAAGATAAACAGCAACCAGAATGACTAAACTTATTTTTAAAAGAAAAAAATAAAAACTACCACCAAACGTTGACAAAGATATAGAGTAACCTAAAATCTCATACACTGTTAGAGGGAGTATAAAGTATGTCATTTTACACCACTTTGGAAAAATATATTGCAGTTTCTTATAAAACTAAACATACCTAGTCTATGACCTAGCAATCCCATGCCTATATATGCACCTAGAAAATTTAAAAATGTTTCCACAAAATGACTTATCTAATTATACTTCCAGCAATTGTATTTATAATAGTAAAAAAAAAAACGGAAATAGCCAAAATGTCCAAAATATAACAAAACTGTGGTATGATAATTTAAAAAAACATATGGTATTCTTGGGCTGGGGATGTGGCTCAAGCGGTAGCGCGCTCGCCTGGCATGCATGCAGCCTGGGTTCGATCCTCATCACCACATACCAACAAAGATGTTGTGTCCGCCGAGAACTAGAAAATAAATATTAAAAATTTTCTCTCTCTCTCTCTCTCTCTCTCCTCTCTCTCTCTTAAAAAAATATGGTATCCTCATGTTGTAAACTACTACTCAATAATTAAAAGATACAAACTACTGATAGATGTAAATCGTGAATGATTCTTCAAAGCATTATGCTAAATAAAAGTAGCCACTCACAAAAGAGTTTATATAGTAGGATTCCATTTATATATAATAAGCAAAACAAATCTATGGTGAAAAAATCAGAATACTGGTTACTTTGAGGAGAACTGACTGGAGAGTGGTACAAAGGAACTTAATTGAATGAAAGTAATATTCAATATTTTGATAGAGGTTTATATTACAAAAGTGTATATGTTGGTCAAAACTTATCAAATAATACAATAAAATTTGAGATTTCTCTGTATGTAGATTGTTCTTCAAAAAGAGTTAAGAAAAAGTAATGTTATGCATTCTGAAGTGTTAAATTGTATTGACATTTGCAAGCTGAAAATTCATCTCCAAAATACAGAGAGATGAAAAGAAGAATGAATAGATATGTGATAAATACAGCAAAATGAAACTTGTCAAATATAGGTGGTGAGAATACACACATGAGAATTCAGAAGTTCTTTCGACTTTTCTGATGTTTGAAAGTTTTCATATTAACACAAAAGAAAAACATAAAAATATAAGGAACTCATTAAGGAAAAGACATATGAGAAGGAACATGTAATGTCAGAAATATTTTCATTTTAATATGGAATATGCTGTATCTTTTCAAAGGGTAGAAGACTCAGACAGGTCAGAAGAAGACAGATTCTATATACAGTTCATCTACATATCTGGTGCTCCCAGAATTGTTTCCTAGTTGAAACATTGTGATAACAAAATGCTACATTTATAAGTATTCAAGATAAAAAAAAATCAACCACAGCATGTAATTAATTTAGAACTCTTCCCCTGAGAAAACAATGGAAGGAATTCATTGCATAACTCCCTCCTTTTTTAGAGCATACAAGAACATGTATGTATGTATATACTACACAATATATACATGAGGTTTAGATTACATGATCCATGATCATGACCTGTTTTTTTCACTCAATGTACTTTCACAAAAAATGTGTAAACGTGTAGCCTAATATGAATATTTCATAATGTTGTTAAACAATCAACTACTGTTTTAGAATCAAAGAATTTTCAACTAAACTGGTGCTGACAAAGGCAGTCTCATACAGTCTTTTGACACCCATTTGGCTGCAGGAGAATACATTGTACCTGGAACACTTCCTTACCAAAAGATAAAATGTCTACATGGTCTGTGCTTAGCTCATTGCCTGTGTGGGAATAACTTTCTCTGTTGCAAGCCCAATTTATGCTCCTTTGTTCTTCTAAAGCACGTGTATCACATGGCATGCAGCCAACTCCATTGCTCTATCTATTCTACATAGAGTATGAAAGAGGTCCTTCAAGGCTACAAAAGGATACAATAACTAAATATCCTATATTAGCTGCTGGGAGACACCTGTTTGGCCATAGGGAACTGACATACATCATTAAAGCTCACAAGAGTGTTTTGAATTCTGCCAGGCAGTTGGTAAAAATACTATTTTTCAGTGTGACTCGTAACTGAAATATTTACTTCTTGATTCTGACATAGTTTATTTCTGATGTAGATTTAGCAACATGAAATTGTCAAAAGGAAGAGATTTATACTTTTCTTACAGAGCATATGGATTACAAAAATCAGAATACAGTTCCTCTCTAAAAATAACAAGAGGTCAGAACACTTTCCAACTCATTCAATGAATGATGAGCCAATATTAGCCTGATTTAAAAAAATAAAAATGCAGGCAAAGACATGTTGAGAAAAGAAAACTAAATACATATAACTTTTATTAATATAGATGCAAAATACTATCAAATGGATTCTAGCAACATGACTTGTTGAGATTTATCTCAAGAATGAAAGACTGGTTTAACATTCATTTTTTAAAATTTTTTATTTGTTCTTTTTAGTTATATATACAGTAGAATGTATTTTGACATATCACTCTAACATTCTAACATTGAAAATCATAAATACAGTAGAACGTATTTTGACATATCATTCTAACATTGAAAATTTAATTAATGTATCCACAGAATAAAGGACAAAGATCACTTGATCATATCAACAGATGCAAAAAGGGAATTTCAGAAAATTCAACATCCTTTCTCATATTAAAACATAATTGATGAAATTGTGAAGAATCTCCTCAATCTAATAAACAGCATGTACAAAAACCTATAGCTAACATCATACCAATTACTGAAAGAATTAATGCTTTCTTTCTAAGGTTAGGAAACAGATAATTATATGCACTCTCACCACTTCTATTAAATATTGTATTGAAAGTTCTATTCAGAGCAAATAGATAAGAAAAAGAAGACAAACCAAGATTGGAAAGAAATAAAAGTATTTGTATATGACAGAATCTTGTATATACACAACCCCAAGAAACACACTAAAAATTTGGAACTAATGAAGGAGTTCAGCAAGAATGATTATACAGAACTACTATGTAAAATCTTACAGTGAATTCCAAATTTATGTATATTTATAAAACACCAATTAAAAATAATAAAATAGAAGGAAGACCAGTAGAATAGAGGAAGAACAGGGGGAGAGAAGAGGGGAGGGAAACAGGAAGTACTGGGAACTGAAATGGAGCAAATATGTTCCATGCAAGTATGATTATGTTGAAGTTAATCCCACTATTGTATATAACTATAGTGTATAGATAAACACATTTTTAAAAAATTAAATAGTCAATTGTGAGACCTATTGAGGATATTTGTACTGCCAATGACAAAATATGGTATAGATTTCCGCTGTTACTCATTTATAATTAATACTTTTGTTCTATTCAAAATTCATACTTTACACTACTTTTGTTTAACAGCTAAATGAATCTGTTTGGAGCATGTCTCTTAGATCCATGTTTCTTAAATTCCTGAAAGTTGCTTAGAAAACATATGTAATTTAAAAATTGTTCACACAATGATTCATTCAATGAAGACATTATTTATTGATAGTTGCACACGCTACTGTTCATGATCAAGCATTCCATCAATACTAAGAAAAATGACATTGTTCTCAGATGTAGAGAAAACTTGAGTTGATATAACTAATTCAAAGCATTTTTATTAAAACTATTTCTTGATTGGTCAAGTAGCAAAATTGGGAGTAGAAACTCAATTCTTTCTCATATGGATATTGTATGATTTTATGAGGACTTCATATAAAAATGAAACTTTAAAACTTTTTAAGTAAAAAATAAAATAATTACATTTCCAAAAAAACACCCAAAGTAGTGAAATATTTAAGAATAGTGTAGGATTATGAAGATGGTGGCGAATAGAGTGCCTCACCCCCATGTTCCGCGTCACTGTGCAGGTGATTAGCGAGTTTAGAATGGCCAGAAGCTATCTTGTTAGGAATTTCCAGCAAAATTGGGGTGCACTGAAACCTAGAGGATGGATTTCAACACCCGAGGATTAATTACTGCTGCTCAATCAAGAGTGAACCGTGCACCTGGAGATTCAGGCTGACTGATCAGCGGACCGCCCAGCAGCCAGAGCCTGCACTCAGACGTGCCAATGCAGAGAAACGGTGCTACGGATTCTGTGGGGTCCTGCCAACTGTGCCTTCACAGTGCTCCAGGCTGAGCTCTGGGTTTGAGACGGGGAGAGAAACAGTCCAGATCTGCCCTCCACACCGGACACCCCACTGAGGAAGCCAGCGGCCACCATCTTGGAGAGCTGACATCACCATCGCCAGTTTCCGACATATCCGACCCCATCGCAGCAAGTTCAGCAATAGAACAGGTGTGTGACATTTAGCCCTTCTCCCATACAGTGGGGAAATCGCATAAAATCTCTCCCCGGCTTTCCAGGGGCGTGATTATCAGAGTGAGCGTGAGTAGAGGCATGGGGAAAGGTAAAGGCACCTGAACTCCAAGTCCCCCCATCCCACCAGCGGCTAAAACGAAACCTGTCTCACCAGCTCTCAGAGGAGTGGCTATCGGAGGGAATCAAAACAATATGGGGCCAGTTCCCAATAGCTGTGCTATACATCCAGGAAACTGAAGGCCCAGAGTGTAGCTTGAACAGCGGAAAGGTATCACACTGGGGAAGGCCTTTCTGGCAGGAGAAGCGAGGAGACTAGAGGCCAGGAATAAACCTAAGTGAAAAGGATTGGAGAGACACCTGGTGGGGAGGAGGGAGTGGCCTCATAAGGATTGTTTCCTACAGCCTGAGAGCACAATCTTGGTCTGGAAGGCACAGCTCCACCTACTGGAAGCTAAGAAAATAAAAGCCTAACAGTGCTTTTTTTTTTTTTTAATTGTAATTTTTATTTTACTTTATTTTATTTTTTTATCATTTCTTCTTTTTCTTTTCTATTTTTTTTCTTTCTTCTCTCCCTGTCT